TTCAGTTCAAGGATATAGGTCAAATTTCACAGATTGTTTGAGTTTCAAGACATTTGCGTTTTCTTTACGTCAATGTGTAGATCAAAATTGACCTATTCTTGACCTATAGTTCATTGTTTTAAAAAATCTGGTCAACTGTGACCTATTTTTGACCTTATTTTCAAGATAACGGCCCCTAGGGGCCGCTACATTCTGTCAAGATTTAAGTTAAAGTTCAGAATTTAATGATATGAATTAATTTATTCAAAAAATTAATTAATAAAATTTAATTTGAATGAAATTGACTAAAACGCAATATTTTTATTTAATGACAAAGTAGAATTAATGTCAATTTTATTAAATAAGAACTTCATTTAAAAATTTCAAAAAATATTGCGGCAATTTTAAATTTATAAAAAAAAGTTTAAATAAGTATATAATTATGATAAAAATGAGAATATAATCTAGAAATGTAGATAGATAAAGCAGAAGATATACAAACATAACCTAAAAATATGTAGATTTTATGTTTCGTATAGGTCAAAATGTGATCGCAATGCAAAAATGTCCAACATATTAAAATTAGCAGGTCAAAAAACGAATTCGTTCATCTAAAAGTAAAAAATTAAAAATAAAGTACAAATCTCAGAATTAATATAATAATTAATAAAAATTTAAAACTTCTGACTTAAAAGTAGGCGGGGCAAAATAAAAAATGTAAATTTGATGTAGTTTTTTTTCTTTTTTTTCTATATACCGCCAGGAGTGAGCTACTTGACGTATATTGAAATTACATTTTGATTGCCCATCTGAAGTACAAATGGGGATCGGGTTACTGGAGTTTTCTCAAAACCCCCATTGTACCGAATTACGATTGTGAGTGACAATGGAGTCTTCGAAATCCTTGTGGTCGACGAGAGACGGTTTTGTTAATAATAGTCTAATAACAAGTGGGTTCTAATAAAGACCATTATGGCATTTTTTACTTGACCTGTCATTATATATATAGCAGGGGTACTCTATAAACCCCCCTTTACGCAAGCCAACCATCTCAATACTTTTATATTAAATCACATTTTTTGACTACTTTTTTTATTATTTATAATATATATTTAATTATTATCAAATTTTATTTAAAAAAAATTTTTTAAATACAATAAAAATTTTTTTAAATATAATAATAAAAGATTACTAAATTACTTACTAAAAAATTTTTATTGTTGACCTAACTTCTTCTGCTTCTTTTTATGTACTTTGACATAATTTTTAATGTTATGTTTGCTTCCTTATGTTACTTTGGACCTAAATATTATTGAGAGTGTGTTCTAAATCTAAATTTTTTGAAGTTATGGAGACCCTTATTGGGCCTTCTTTTGACCCGTAGGTAAAAAATAAGGTAAAATTTAAAATAGATTTTAACGTTTTGTAAAGGTCCTTATTGAGATCCTTTTTGACCTGTAGGTCAAAAATTAGGTTAAATTTTACATAAATGTTAACGTTTCGTAAAGGCCCTTTTTGAGAACCCCTTTTGATCTGTAGGTCAAAAAATAGGTCAAATTTGACATAAATTTTGAAGTATTGTATGGGGACCCTATGGGGGTCTTTATTGGGCCTTCTTTTGACCAGTAGGGCAAAATTAGGTCAAATTTGTCCTAAATGTCAAAAAGTTGGTCAAATTTGACCTAAAGGTAAAAAATAGGTCAAATTTGATATATTTTACCTATAGGTCAAAAAACATCAAATTAGACATAGATTTTTCCGTAATGTAACGGCCCCTATGGAAGTCGTTATTGTGCCTTCCTTCTGCTTGTAAAATATAAAAAATTTTGTTACAAATTACACATATTTATATATTGTATATTGAGACTAACAAAGAATTTTTACCGGAAGCCAATATTAAATATATATAAAGTATATTATTGAGATTCATGTTCAGCGGAAAGTCGAACAAACAATTTGTCGAGGGTGCTGAGTACAAGAGAAAGAAGGAACCCGTCGTTGAAGATTTGTAACTATTGTTCGCTATACAATTCCCACTTGGACCTATATAATGGAGGCTTGCATATATTTCATCCGTGTAGATTCTACCGTGTGGATTCCACAATTTCTTCAATATATATTTTCTATATATATATATATACATATATATGTATACATACGTATATATATGTATAAACGTATATTATGGAAGGCAGAATTTCTATTATATACCAGATTTCGAGGACTAACACAATTTTTTTCGTATTTCTCAAATGGTTTCTTCGGTGTGTTCCTCTTTTCAGGCTTGAACGCAGTTATGTACCGTAACGCCCACCGACAGTCTTGACGGATAGAAAGATATTCTTCTTCCCGGGAATATCGGCATTGAGCCACGAAACTGGTGGGACAGGTTGGCTGCTTTGATCCCACCGCACACGATATTCCCTTTTATTATTATTCGTCGTCGTCATTGCTCTAAAAGTGCTAATTACACATTTACACCGTAACTATATATATTCACCGGGAACATTTACACAAAAGATCCTTTCTTTTTTGTGAAAAAATAAGTAAGGGTAAAAGAATGGAACAAAGAATAATTTTGTTACAGCTACTTGTGTATTATATAGCAGAAGTGTGAATTAGTTGTTATCTTCTTTCTTTTTTGTTAGAACAAGAATAGGTAAAAATAATAATTGATAAATTAGGTAACATAACCTATATACAAATTATATAGAGAGAATATATGCGTGCTTGGTGTTATTTAGTTTTGGTGTTATAATTTAATATATATGTAAGAGGTTGAGAGTAAAGGAATTTGCTTATAATTTGTAGTTTAGACAGAAAAATTTGGGTGAGAATTTTTAATAATTGTGTACTTGAAAACCTAACTTTAACTTTTTTATATGAATTGTTAAAATTTACTAATTTATGAAAAGTTTTGGGAATATGACATGCGAAAATTGGATCAAGGAAAATAAATGCAAAGTTACTACTACTAGTACTACTACTTCTACTACTACTACTACTACTACTACTATTACTATTACTACTACTTTTTTCCTACAAAGGAAAAAGATATGTATAAGTGTCATTGTCGCTTAGGTCGAAATTTCTTTGGTATAGACATACAAAAATCAACCTAAGCTCTAATGTATACTAATCTACTACTACTACTATTACTAGATGCAAAAAAAATTTTGAAGTTAACTGAATAATAAGAATAATTTTTTTAGCCTATGTCGTATTTTTGGACTTTCGAATTTACAAGAATTGGAAGTATATATGAAGTTATCTGAATAATAAGACAATTTTTTTCACACTGAGTCATAATGTTGACTTTTCCTAATTAAAGGAATTGAAATTTATGAAGTTATCTGAATAATAAGAAAATTTTTTTCACACTGAGTCATAAATGTTGACTTTTCCTAATTAAAGGAATCGAAGTTTTTGAAGTTATCTGAATAATAAGAAAAATTTTTTTCACACTGAGTCATAATGTTGACTTTTCCTATAATTAAAGGAATCGAAGTTTTTGAAGTTATCCGAATAATAAGAATAATTTTTTTTCACACTGAATAATATGGTTGACTTTTCCTAATTAAAGGAATTGAAATTTATAAAGTTATCTGAATAATAAGAAATTTTTTCTTCTTCAGCCTTTATTAGCGTGATTGGACAAATTCAATTAAACCTGATGCTGCAAATATCTGAAACAAAAAGAAAATATATAATTAAAACTATTTGGAAATTCGAATTTATGTTTACTATTTTATACTGAAATTGAAGTTTTTAGTTATCTGAAATATAATAGGAATACTTACCTTTCTTCAGCGCTTGTTATAAAGTGATTGAACAAATTCCATTGATGTTCACTATATACATTATCTGAAACAAAAAAAAATAGTTTATTTTTTAGCAGAAAATCGAAAAATGAAGAAACATACATTATATAAAATGTCTGAAAAATAATCAACTTCTTCGCCTCTCTTATGGTGCGGCATACATTGTATATCACAAGACAAGATATTTGTGCTTTAACAATCAAAAAGAAGATTTCCAAGTTTTTTCCGTGTCTCCTTGCCTTTATAATCCACGTATAACCCCGCAACCAATTTAACTCGTCACAATGTGCTAAAGAAATCGCTGGAGACGAGTTTTTAAATCTTTCCCTTCAAGATATTTTGAAGTAAATTCTGCGCGATCGTTTGTACTTTTTTTTTGTCTTCACCGTCATTCTCATCTCATCTCGGCGATTCTCTTCGGCACTACTGTGACTTTTTTTTGTTCTAAATACTTCCCCCTCTTTGTCTCTTTTCTAAATTAACGTTCCGAAAAAAATTGTACCATTTTCTTCATTCCTTCTTTCGTCACGTGACTCCTTATGTGGCAAAAAAGGTCATTATTATAAAATAAAGGGTCGTTCCTTATTTTTTTTATAAAAAAAAATTAAGTACTTTTTTTTGAAATTTTACCCCCCCCCACCCCAAATGTAACATAAATTCAAATATACAATTTTAAAATTTTCTAGATTCAAATACTTCATTGTCCGACATTTTTAATTTTGAAAAACTCACGTCACGATAATCGCAAGTATATACTGTAACTTTTCTTATTATTTATCGAATTTATTAATTATGTTATTGAAAGAAATTAATATTAATTATAAATTATAATTAATATAATTAATAATATTAATATAATTTACAATTAATATAATTTATATAATTAACAATATTAATATAATTTATAATTAATATAATAATAAATTATAATTAATATTAATTATAAATTAATTAATATTAATTTCTTCTAAGTAATAAAGGGGAAAAAATGAAAATAGAAAAAAATCCCTTCTTTGGGACATGATTTGAAAAAGGAACCCTAATTAAAAAGTCAAGTTTCGAGGGTGAGGGAAAGTTATAGGGTTAGTTATCGTTATTATGCCCTCACACCTCAGCAGTGAGTATACGATCTCCACCGAGAATTGACGAATCCTCCCGACTGTATCCGAACGCACGATCTATGAAGAAGTCCCTCTCACTTGATCTTCAGTCCAACCCGCGCTTTCGATATGCGTGGAGAGGATTATTGTCGCTCCGATTTTTACTCGTAGAAAAAGATTTCGTCTTTCACACAAGTGATATTTTGAATATAAAACAAGTAAACAATCATCGAAAATAAAAAAAAATTTTTAATAAATTTCTCCTTCCAAGAGAAATAAAATACCGACAAGTGTATTCTAATAGTTTCTCAGTGATACTTCTGAATAGAACCACTTTTTTGATAATAAACTGAATTACGATATTTGATTTTGTGGTTAATTATCCGAAAATCTAAGTTCACAGCCCTTAAATGTAAGAAAATTTAAGGACATTTTATACCCTAGTAAGTAGTTGTCAGTTTACAAAAAGCGAGTGAAGAAATAAGAGCTTTGATAAGAGAGAAAAAAAGATGATGATGATGTTGAAGAAAGTGGATTATTCTAAAATAGTGTTTTCAATGGATAGTGTAAATTTGGTGAATAACTGGATTCCACAATTTCGTCTTTAGAAGATTATATTGAGGTGGAAAGTGGGGAGAGAAAGAGACTAGCTCGCAAAGATGAATCTAATTTGGACAACGTTGGTCCTAATGGCAATTACGAGCCTCGTAAATGCCTGGAGCATTTACCACACTGGTCATCCTGGCACTGACACAAAATGCGAAAGGCTAAGCGTTTCCTTTTGTCGAGGTCTGGGCTACAACCTCACGTCCATGCCAAACTTTATGGGCCACGAAAATCAGTTACAGGCTGAACGCGGGGTAAGCTAGCCTTCTTTTATATTATATATTATTAATTCTCAGAACTCGACTTGCTCTCTTGAAAGAAAGGCGCTTTTTCAAGTTCCCCCTCGCATGTTCTCTTCTTTTGTTGTACTCTGAATTTAGACATTCATTTCACGGACGTACGGCTCCTTTCATGATTTCTACTATATACGATGCCGGTACATATATATATATATTTCTCGAGAAAAACAACTCGACAAGATTTAATTAGATTATTATATCAATTTTCACACGTGAGTTGATTTTTTGTTGCTGATGCTGTTGGTTGCTTGGAATGTGGTTCTCGATGATGATGATGGTGGTGATAATGACGATGTTGATGATGATAATAATGATGATGATGACGATATTGATGATGATGGTGTGGATGATACCGATTGTGCTGCTGATGATGATTGCAAAATTTGATTTCCAAAATCAAACATTTTTTATGGTACTTCCTATATAGTTGGTAGTTTACTCAATTCATAACTTTTTTGAAGTTTTTGATATCAGTTAGTTAAAAATTTTAATTTCTTAATGGCATTTACCAACAAGAGAAACCTAATGCTGCTCATAACTTATAAAGACTAACAATGATTGCTAATTCTTTATTAATATTCATAAATCATTATGGTAACATTAGGTACATCTATAGATGATGTTAAGTACAGTAGTATTGTTGGTTATTAATATTAATAATAATCAACTCTGTTTGTTAACTTTAAAAAATTAGTAGTACTTTCCGTTCATGACGTTAATTTCCTAAAGGAATTTCAGCTTCCGTTATTAATTATAAGATGCTACTATAGTAGCATTAAGTATTCATTGATGATAATAATTCCTATATTGCAAATTCCGTTATTAATTTTAAAATGTTATCAGTAGTAACAGGTATTTATTAATGATACAAAGTCTTGAAGAGTACTGCAGAGACATTTTCTGATATTCAAAAAAATGTTTGCAGCATTACAACTATTGAACATCAATACCCATTGATGATGCTAATTTTTAAGTATACTGCACAAAAATTCGTTGTAACTTTCTATGATTTTGATTCATTAATGGTACAACAATTTTCATTGTCAATGTTGAACTATTATTAATAGCATTAATAACAACAATGACGAAATAATAATTGATGATATTGATTTGCTAAATAATAATATAATTGAATTGCTAAATAGTACTGCAATATCCTATAGATATAACTGAACTAAAAAGCGAGCTTGTTTGCAGAATTATTAGGTATCTCTTCAAGATATGCCATCTTTTAAATATATTAACGACATTAACGACATTAATTATTATATTAATTATCAAAAGTTCGTATAGCATTAGATATCTGTTGGTTAAGTTCTAAGTGGAACTGCAGCATCATTTATTATAATTTAAAAAATTTGATAGCAGTGTAGATATTTGTTATTGATGCGTCAATTTCCAATTGCTACTGCAGCATCTGTTATTAATTTGCAATAATTATCAGTAGCGTTAAGTTTATGTTAATTATGATAATTCCCAAGAAGCACTTAGTTAATTGTTATTAGTTAAAACTTAGTTCGTTAGTAGTTTTTAGGAATATCTTAATTATTATTTAATAAGTAGAACTACAGCATCCATCACTAATATTAAAATTAGTGGTAAGAAATCAGCATAACTTGAAAATTCCTAAATAGTAGTGCAATATCCGTTAATACTAATTTTAAAAAGTTCCAAGTAGCATAATATTGATGATGTTAATTCCCAAATGAAGTGCTATTAATTTTAAAAAGCTATCACTTTCGATAAAACCAAATTTGTTATAAATTTCCAAAAGTTGTTTTACAGCAGACCGAAAATAATATTAGTTCCTAAAAGTTATACTAGTGCTTCCGTTAAAAATTTCAGATTAGATCTACAGTTAAATTTTTTGATTATCAAAATTGAAATGAATTTTTTCCCTACTCTAAATCATTTCCGGCCTCTAAATCTACTCTGGACTTAAAAACACTTCTCTCTTAAAGAGCACACTGGAAAATACCCTTTCTACACCATTTCGACTCGGAAGTTTGTTCAGGGTAAAAGATTGCCTTTGATCTCCTAAGTTTCAACTGTCAAACATCAAAAGACACACTCATGCTGTAAACAGTATAGACATTTAATTAACAAACCAAAAGAAACGTACGAGTAAAGGGAAATCTATTAATGCTTCTAGAAGCTTAAAAAATAGAAGAGAAAAATATGCCAAATATGCTAATAATGATGCTATCTATTGGTACACGATTTGTATGATGTTCCAAACGGTATTGCAGAATTGATTATTACAAATTAGTTGGTATCATTTTCTATTGATGATTTTAATTTCTTAATGCTAAAGTAGCTTCCGTGTTGAATTTTAAAATGTTTGTTGGTAGCATTATTTATTGATGATAAAACTTTCTAAATATTACAGCGACATTCATTAATTTTCAAAAGTTGTTTGTAGCAATAGATATCTGATGATGATGTTATCTCTGTATTGGCAGTACTACAGCAAAAGTTGTCTATTTTTAAAATTTATCAGAAACATTAGGTATTTGTCGATGATGCTATTATTATAATGAAATGACACTAAACAGTAATGCAGAGTTTATTGTTTTTAAAAATTCGTTTTACTACCATTTTCTCTCGATGTTTTTAATTCTACATGTTTATTGCGTTAATATCTAACTAGTGTTGCAGCATCATTACCAAAAGTTGCTAGCAATGTTAATTAATTTTAAATCGTTCTGAATTTTAGGATTTATTAACACATACCTAAAGTAGTGTTTTCTTTAACAGTTTCTAACCTTCTTTGCCTTCTTCACCTTCTTCTTTTGTTTAAATTTCTCATCTCTTCACCTTTCGTAATAATCTTGAAACACTTCCGAAATATTCTAATTTCGTTTTCACTTCTATTTAACGTAGAAGGTGCTAATTTCCTAATTTGCAACAATATCTTAATTCCTTATTGTTCCAACTTCCTTTCTGCGTTCACTAATTCCAAAACGAAACATATTCTTTGATATTAAAAGTGCTAATTATTCCTTATTGTTCTAATGTTCTTTCTTTTCATATACATACTAAAATTTATACAAAACGAAACAAGAATTTCTATTCTAAAATTTCAACTATCATGGTTGTCATCACTATTAGTATATCAGAAATTGATATCACCAAAAAAAATTTGATAAATGGACAAAAACAAAAAATAGCAATTTTTGGAACGAAAATTTCTGTAATCCCGCTAATGATATTATTTCATAACAATGATTTATATATTATACGTATATATAGAGGAAAAATAGAAACATCTGGACCCAGGAAGATATTATCTGTCTCTTCCTCCCCCGCTCTCTCTCTCTCTCTTTCTCTTTCGATATAAAGAGCCACCGGATTCTACGCCGATGAATGTTCACAACGGGGTTTCTAATACGAACTCTTGTATCAGTGGTCATCGCTTTATATGAATGAAGAAATAAAAAAAAATGTGAACACATTACCAAACGGGATATATAATGAAAGGCGCGCGCGAGCACGCGGGAATATTTATATATATGTATGTATATATGTATATATAATGATGAAGAACACGAAATTGGTTTTAGCTCCCTTTGCCGCATATCTTTAATCGCTCTCGTCGCCTTAAAAAAGGGGAATGATAAAAAAAACGGGTCTCATTTCCTGAAATTTTAATTGACTGTAAAAAAAGCATTCCATTGCAATCTGACATCTGCAAGGAGTGTCATTAGAGTATATTTTCTTTAGATTATACTTATTTTATATAATAACAAAAATGATTTTTTTTTTAAATTTAAAAAAAAAGGTTTTAAAAAAGAGAAAAAGCCAATGCTAAAGAAACGTAGAGATGAAGATATTGTGAGGTTTTGTTCTTCTTAAGGTTATGCCTTTAATTCTGTAAATTTTGGCTGAAAATGAAATTTTATATTTTCTTCACTTCAATATATTGAAAATTTGACGTTAATTTTTAAGATTTAACTTATTTACCTGCGTGAATTTTGACTTTAAAAAACTTGACGCTCTTCCAAGAAAAGTACCAAAGAAGCTAATGAATTATAGGTTATGTTTGTGTTACATTTATCTTGATTAGAAGTTCCTTTTTAATTATGTAAATTTGAAACGAGTTTTTATTGAATATTTTCCATGCGTAATAAAAACTTAAACATCAATAATTTATAATATATTGTATAATTGATCCGATTTCTGTATTTCTGCTGCAAAAATTAAAAGCATAACCTAAAAATTTTTGCTTCTTTCTTGGACGTGCGTCACAAATATTTTAGGACGAGTTATTCATAGTATATAATGTAATTGTATATATAGATACAAGAATATTACATATTTGTGTGTTTTTCGATAGTCATTTCGAAGATAAAAGTAATTACCTAGATTATAAAAATAAAGATAAAGAAAGAATGAAGAATGAGTAAAATATTGTCAAACATTTTTTTGTTTACAAAGTTAAGCCAAAAATTTAAATCAATTATATTCTGTTAAAACTATTAGGGTTATTTTTTTGATTTTATTTGATTCTATTTCATAAATTTGAATTTATTCGGTTTTTTGAGTTCTATTCGGTTGAATTCGATTCTATATAATTCTATTATAGATTATATTGGATTTCTTTTACTGTAGATTTGATTTTATTCAATTCAATTGAATTCTATTCAATTCAATTGAGTTCTATTCAATTTAATTGAATTCTATTTAATTCAATTGAATTCTAATCAATTCAATTGAATTCTATTCAATTCAGTTCTATTCGATCCAATTCTATTCTATTCAATTCAACTGATGCCATTTTTTTCGTTCCTACTTAATTCTATTTCATTCTATATCAATTGATTTGAATCGAATTGAATTCTATTCAATTCAATTCAATTATATTCAATTCAATTATATTCAATTCAATTCTATTCAATTCAACTCATGTCATTTTGTTCGATTCTACTTAATTCCATTCAATTATATTCAATTCA